GTATTCACTCGCACACACATTAGACTCTCACTTGATATATTCATGACTTCGTTATCTTTGTTGTTCAATAATTAACTGGATTGCCGCTTCTTATTGTTGTCTGGACTCCTACACCGATGGGATTTGTGTGATGACCGTTATCAAGGCGATTGATGAACGAAAAGTAAGAAGCCATCTCAAAGCTAAGCCATTACATGGTATAGTAAATCGGACTTTTGATGATCCAATTTAACAACTTTATATATACGTATATATACCAATAAGAGACTGGTCAATTGCAGTCCTAAACGTCAATGGGAAGATTCAAACAATAAGTAAAGGATTAATTAAACTTCACCCCATTGCAAAAGCTTATGGCTATCTGAACTCATTAGCTAAATGAATAGTGCGATGGCGTTTTAAGTGAACACTACTGGGTTCGGGTTCTGGGGTGAACAATAATTCGGATTCAAGTACATCCAGCTGACAAGTTCTAAATGGGAGGAAACACAGGTCCTGAATTACTCTTCTAGCCACCATCAATCTCTGTTTATAATGCTTATGACTCAAGGCAATCTTCACATGATGCGCAGATACCGATAAGAAACTGATCAGTTGTTGTCCCAAACGTCAATTGGAAGATTCAAACAATCAATACAATTTGAATTATGTTCACTTAGTTATGTGTTATTTCATCCATTTGACAAGAATACTCTTGCCATCGTTGTAGTTTTTTTTATACACTTCTTTAAAATCGAATACATTTTTTTCTTTAACTGCTCTCAAATATTAAATAACCCATTTCGTCAATTTCAAGGTTGTAGATAGTTTTTGCTTGATCCGAAATTTCACTTTTCCTATAACATTCTTTGAATAGGCTTATATGTAGACAATTTCATTGATACCTTTGGTTATTTCAGGTATTCACGGTTAACAATTTTGATAACGAGAAATTATTTTATTATTTCAGTCCGATTAGTATGTTTTGTTAATTCAATCAAGATCATAATCGGATGTTAAGACTTCATGGAATATAATGAATTCATATGGTTTACTTTAATAGTCAACTCTTATACTTCATATATTCCATTCTAAATACAAACAAAGTACAAATTCATTTTGTATTGTTTGTTTGAATCTTCCCATTGATGTTTATGACTTCAGTTAATCAGTCTGTTATTAACATATGTGCATCATGTACGGATCGCCTCGATATTACCTTAAGTCATAAGCATTATAAGCAAAAGTGGATGGTGTCTAGAAGTGGAATTTAAGACGAGCGTTTCATCCTACCATTGGGAAGATTCAAACAAACAATACCAAACGAATTTAAACTTCACCCGATTGCACAAGCAAGTAGCCGACAGAACTCACTAGCTAAGTGGATAATGGCGATGAATTTTGAATCGGACGGTATTGAGTTCTAGTCCTAGAGTGAACATCAATTCTGGGACGCGAGTACATCCGTCTGACGAGTCAAAAGCAGGACGAAACGCGTGTCCTGAATTCTACTGCTGATCACCATCCATCTTTATAAATAACATACGTTGTTACTGTACCTTAGTTGTTATTTCCAGTTGAAATATTCGCTGTTCTGTTAGTGAAAAGAGTGTGAAAAATGTCGTTGGTGTAATTGGTTCATAAATACAGGGATTACTTTAAACTTTGAATATGACTGGTCACTGGATCGAATTTTTAGGAGTATGCTAAATGTACTACTCAGTACCCCTAAATTATCATTGTCTAGAATGATTTGTTGTTGATTTAGGTGTCAGTCTCTTTCTGTATTTTTAGAACAGTCTTTGTAGACATTATTTAATATTTGGAGTCAGTTTTATTACAGTGGATTAGGGGGCACCATTCGAAATTAGGTAGGACTATATTTTTTGGCATTGGTTGAGAGTACAGATCAACAGTGCACATCCACGACCATTCTAGGAATCAAAACCATAAATTTTATGAGTTCTGAGTGACTTTTGTTGGCGTATGAGCACTCCGGGTGGATGCCTCCATTTTTGCTTTAGTCATCAGTTTCGTTATATTTTGTGTGAATAGAAGTGGAATTCTGGATATGTGTTCCATACAGTTTAGGACTCTTCAGGTGGATATACCTCTATCCTGGTGTTGATAATCCTATTTGGATTCCTCTGACGAGTTAAGCACTAGGTAAAACTGGTGTCTTAGATTCCACTGTTAGCCACAACCCTAATATATAAAATCTCAAATTCTGTGATGAATGTACATTGTACTAGATGAGTTTCACCATGCTTTTGGTGATAAAATGCTGTTCTTCATCAGAAAAATTAAAGTGATTGAATCGTATAGCATATACTATTTCATTTGTAATTAATAGCGTATTGTGTTCACAGTACATATGGATTGCACAGCCAACTTCCTTTCTTTCACTACCTATCTATTTACCTTTCTATAAATTTGTACAACAAAGGCATATTTAATGTCTCTTTCATATAGAATTAGGCAAACAAAAATAAAAATTTGTAATAGAGTATTTATAATGTTGCATTTATGCGTCGCCGTGTTTACATGTATATATGTAGGTGTGTATATTTTATTTTCATATCAGTACCCGAATAATGGACACATACAAGGACGATGAATGATATATAAATATAAACGCTAGAATGAAATTTTATCCAGTTAAATTAGTTAAAAATTCTTATTGATAATGAAAAAGCTCGCATTCATAAACTATACATGTTCTACAGGTTCGCAAATAGACATAAGAAGTTAGTGAATGAGCGAGAACACAGAGTGAATGGTAAAAGAAATTGAAATAGATACATAAAATATGATTGTTTACATGTATTTCTGTCTTTCCAGTCTGAAAACAAATTCATGATTCATTGATTTTCATTGATTTGTAATTGTTGTTGTTGTCTGTTTAAAATGAGAAAATAGACCAAAATGTGCTTGTAACGAATGCATAATTCTTAGATGTATTAATTTAACTACTAATAAGTAGGCAAAACATGAAAAAGTGTTAAAAGAATCGACTTAACAGATCAATTATTTAAGGAATCATCCAAGACTTTGATCAACAAATTCAATCAACGAGATAGAGAAACAGCTTCAGGAGATTCATTAATAAGATACTCAGGTATTGCAATGTGTTTACGAATCATACGATTCTTTAGGGTCATATAGTTTATTCTTAATTTGTTTAGAATCAGGACTTCCCAACTCGTGTGAATGAATACACTCAGAAAGATTTTTAGGCATTTTCAAACTGCTCCTGGTTAGGATTAGAAGTTTAGTGCCCTAAGATGCAGGTAATGATTAACAGTTTAGGTTAAAGAACTTGGAAGAGGATTAATCTGCGTGTTTTTTCTATATCCATCATAACAACAATCGAGCATTTGATATATTGAGGACTATTATTTTCAGTCTTTGGTAGAAAAACTTAGTGTTTCGTTTTCATTTTTTAATGTTATAAGCAGTATATAAAGGTATTTCTACTTCTTATTTTAGATGATATCACATAAAAGTTACTTATTTTCGTAAGTCTAATAATAGATTCAAATCAATTCATTTCTGTACAGTACTTTTAACACTTTTTAGGTATAATTTCTTATATTCTTCTCAAATTTTATTTTTCCTGATCAAATTTCAAGAGTAGAAGAAGCGTTTTTAGAAGTAGGAGATCGTTAGGAAATCAGTATTTAGGTGTTTCGGTACAAGGGACGTATTAATAATTGGTTGAACTTAATTAGAAATAAGATAGCAAGTTATACAAGATAAATAATAAAAATCTTTAAGTTGAACCAATAATTTCTCTATGATTTACGAAGAACTGTACAACAAATTTGATACACATGAAATTTCGTTGAATAATTATTACTTAAACCTTTTTGTTTACGGTATATCTTTACAAATTACGTCTGTTTCTATGTTATAGTGTGTTTGGGTAATATGAGTTAAAATGACATTTACATGAAGATGCATTGTGTTCTCGTGACCGCTATTCCTAAGTCCTTTCACATTTAGTGATTGTTTTTATTGGAGATTACAATAACCATGTACTATAATGATCATAGTTTGTATTTAAGGTTTTTAAAATCTGTATGTGACCAGTTTTTTTGTCAGATTTATCAATTAAGGTTAATTTTTAGTTCTATGACTTTGAGTTGATTGATTTCAGAGATTAGAAAGTAAATAAAAATATTCACTTCTACTTTGAGCATGGGCAGATGATGTCCAGAGTGGTAGTGAAAGCCTAATGATTAATTAATCACCAAAATTCGAAATTTGTTCCTTTCGTTTGTTTTATTTACTTTGGATAAAATTTACAAAACACTCGTAAACTGTCTTCTTTAATAGTATTAAATTGAAGATTAGTTCAAGACACAGTGAAAATGAAGTATTCAGTGATCTTTTGATCAGACTAGAAATGGGAAATGTTGTAATGTTTTCACTAGTCATGGTGTCGTATTAGTTAAGCCAGACTCGATTATGGACATTATGAAATGGTGATTAACTGATAACAAAACACTACTATTAGGCAAGAGGATATCCTATGCTAGATCTCATAAGGAATGAGAAGCACAGACAGCAGAAGTTCTTGCTCTGGAGTAGTTGCTGTCCATTTTAGGGAGTTTTTCCTGTTATGTTTATATTGTGTAAAAATATCTTCAGGATTCAAATAGCTTCACTAGATGTGACAGGTTTCCTTACTTGTTTAAAATAGTTTCATTTAGATAATAACGTACTAAACAGATGTATAATCATTGGACAAGAACGAAACTCCTGTTAGCTGGCTAAGTTACATAAAATTAAAGTTCTAGCATACTTAAATGTTTCATTCAGTACATTTTACGCATTCTGTGTAATCGTATGTTTAAACGATTTTTTTAAAGAATTACTTTTCACTCCCACTATAATATAATATTATCGGTTAGTCCTTTTTACATTCCCTTTTGAAATGATAGGCTTATTTTCCTTCATAAGGTCATATAACTGTGAGCTGATTGGCTTGCCGTCAAGGTCACAAGAAGGTTAGTTGTTGGTGCTTGATGAATATTGGCATATTTTCTTTTACCATTGTTTATGTGACATTGATAAATCAAAACCTTTCGAAGGAAGAAAAGGTTTTGATTAGCAAATGAACAAAGTAGGTAAGCTGAAAAACCTTTACATTTAATTCAGTTTACATCGAAAACTGTAATTAAGTAACATATTATTATGGATAATTACACTGTTAAATTAGCCATTATTTTGATTAAAAAACAAAACAATCGACTAGCATAATGTAAATTTTGTTTAGTTATACGAAGAAATACTTTAAGCTTGTAAAGGTACTCTTCTTCAATTATTTAGTTAGTCAATCAATCAAACTTATCTAGGTAGAACGATGTTTGTAATAACAAACATTCCAATCATGGCTATTAATAGAGTCTAGAAATTCTTATTATTTAATGACTGTCATTCAAATAATAATAATAATAATAATAATAATAATAATAATAATAATAATAATAACTGATTACTTTAATGCTTTTGTTTTCACAAAAGATTCGAATGATGTACAGTAATTAATGTTCGAACTCAATTTGCATTTTGGAGATAACATTATGCCTGGAACTTTATTCAATTTAACATTTGAAGATAATACCATTAATTACACTTACACTTTGTAAATATTGGCTTTATTATCATCAGAATAAGATATTTAAATGAAATGATTATTACGAAACTTAGACTTGATTGTATTTTTTGAGTTTCAGTTTAGATCTTGGATAAGGTGATGAAAGTTCATTGTTAATAATTAGCTCTCATTTGTTTATTCTATGTTATTTAGTTCGAAAACCGGTTGATAGACAGCTATTTATTTATTATTCAGTTATAACTTATGCCCACATTAGTATTAAAAGTGAGGTTATTTATAATTTTTTTTCCCAATATGACAGTCAAACTAATTAAGTGATGGATAATCTTGTGTAGAATGAAATCTATTGTTAATTCAAGTTTATTGATGACAAACAATAGAGTTTTATTACAGTCTAGTTTGAGAATTCACGCTGACGTATATGACAGACAGTAAAAGGGATACGACTGATGATTGAACTCATTAGTTTAAGTGGAAAAAGTTTTTGTAAATGAGGGTTTAACTCAAATAGTTTTATTTGTATTTGGAATGCCTGACTATTTGTTTAGTTTCCTGAGTTAATAATATGATAGAATACCAATAATGTGTCGTTAATAATTACAGAAAAATAACTGGAACTCAGAAATTGAAATCTATACACTGGAAGCAGTAAAAAAGAACAATTGTAGTTAAAATTATAAGTTTTTGTATATCTCAAGAAGCTAAACTACAAGATATCAACAATTGATGAATAAAGACTACACAGAGATGAACTTGAATTTTATCTTGATTCAATATAGGGAATATATCGAAGAATATCTGGAGATCCTTGACTTTGAGTATGACTCTGTGTGGGATCTTACATATAAACACTTCTACTGGTATTCTGCATTGGCACTATTGTTTGATCTAGAAATGAAACTCGAAATGACTGACCAAAATTGTATACTTTGATGTTGAATATTGAAAGTGTTACCTAAAACAGTGGTCATGTTCCATATAAAACACTGACTTTGGTATTTTTAATTACCCGAATCTTATTCTGACGTTTCATGCAATTTATATGTACGTATGCCTGATAGTCCTTAACACTTATATTCTATGATTATTGTTTACATTTTGGATGAAAAAAAATCTAGAAATCATGGTGAACTATGTAATTATTTTCATAAAGTGACTTATCCAATATCTTAAAATGGTTAGATAGATCCAAAGAATCATAATAAATAATGGTACATTCTTTAAGCCATATCACTTAGGTTGTTTATTTCTTGATGAGATCACATTCAAATTTTTTCATATTTTAGAATTTACCAGTCAAATACTTAGATTTTGCACACTCTATGTTAGTTCCTTCATTTGTCAAACTGTTTCATGCACATTGAAATGTGGGCATTTATTTATTGTCTGTAAAGCATATCTTGTACATAATTCATTAACATGACAAGTAATGAAAACCAAAGTTTAAACATTTTGTTCGTAATATTGTTCAGTTCAAGAAAACTTCATACAAATGGGTAATCGGTGAATACAGATAGAAAAACAACAGTCTTGAGAACTGTATGCTAGATGGTAGGAAGTCATAGACAGGAAATCCTGGACCTAGCCTTTGTTCTAGTTAGCAGTAGTTAGTAAGGTGTACCTTCAGTCTTGAGGTAGTATATTCTCCATATGATATTCTAAATTCTAATTAGTAGGAAACCTAGGACCAGGGTTTCCTGCCGACTATCTCGATCCATCTAACATCTAAAAACAATACACACGATATAGAATCACATAATATATGGCCAAATTACAATTTGATAGGTAGAATTGAGTCAAGATCAAATGACTAAACAAACATAGCGTGGTCTCTACTCACTGGTTAATTATAAGAACCATACTATGGCAACAACAATCAATTGATATTGATCAACAAAACTGTCAGTACATATCTCTTAAACCTCACTGAATTATTTTAATAACGATTTCAAAAATCATAATCATTCCAACATGCAGGTATATATATATATATATATATATATATATATATATATATATATATATATATATATCCTTATTCTATTTCGATGTTATTACGACGTATTATTTATTTCTTTAATACTTCTTTTTCAAAAATGTAATCTGATTTAGTGCAATTCATGAAGTCATTACCTGGACTGATATTATTATTAGCATTAGTAACTGTGCTAGGCGCATTGTTATTTCAAAAAATTGAAGGTCCATATGAAGAGCGATCCAGAACACACGTATCTAAGGTGAGAATCCTTATAATAATGATATATATATATATATATATATATATATATATATATATATAATTGTTTGATAAGTGGAGATACTGAAGTATTTATGGTTTCCGGCATTCATATTAACGGCTACAATGAATTTCTTCAAGTTATAAATAGTGAATATTGACTCTGAGAATTTTCGAATGGATGATGGATTTTATGGGTCATGTGTGACGTTGTTAGGTGAGTGGTACACAATGTCAATACGCCTGTACATAAAAAAGATCGCCTACGAGTACCTGACTAGTAATTCAACCACCAATCTAGATCATCTCCCCTACTCCCATAAATCAGTTATCCTACAATTTCGTTTTGTTCTTGGAATGTAAAGAGGTCACACGGAGATGACAAAAAAATGTGAAACATCAAGGTTACTGAAAATCTTTAACTTTGAAGATTTCCATGAATGATTTGAATGGTGAAAATTATGGTAAGACAAGTGTATTGCCACAATTATGGGGTTATTTGAAGGACGATAAAATTAATTTATCCTTGATTTTGTAAAATGAGGTTTCTATGATTTTGGTTCATGTGTTTATTGGATAAACTACGTATATTAATTACGTCGATGCTTGTAATATGCATTTAAGCTTCATCAACATTCTCAACTTTATATTGTTTGATGTTTAAGTTTTTCTATTATTTAGTTGTAAATAACTTCTTTAGTAATCTTAGTTAACTGTTATGATAAACTTCGAAAGTATAAATGAGGACAGAAAGTTCATTAGATTCAATTTGGTACATTATTGGCTCAATGTATTTTGAAAAAGGCAGTCTGAGCATAAATTAACTTATTGAAGTATTTATTTGAGAAATGGAAAGATTCACAGTTTCTACTTCAGTTCAATGTAACCCGAGGTTTGATCATGGACCTATTTAATAGAATCGACTAAATTTTCATAAATCATGTAATAGAAGATGGAGGGAAAGCGCTAAATTAAATAGTTGTGTAGCATGGATACTTTTCGTAATGTGTAGACTGATGGTAAGGTTGTAAAACACTGAGACTTTGAGTTCATAGCATCAGTAAACCACGTCTATGTGACAGAACACTCAAGAGCCTACACAAAATAGGACTCAAAACCCTAAGGTCCAGTTTTCAATCGAATATTAAATATGAAAAATAACTCTTAAGATATGTTTGATGATCTTAAGACTAAGTGAGTATTTAGAGGCGAAAAAAGAAACATCGGGTAACTTTTTGTCTAATTAAAAAAGATTTCAGTTATCTAGGCGTCGTTATGATTAAAACTAGCTTTATAGTCTTACACAAAAGACTAACTTTATTTGAAAAACTATTCCAGACTAGAAGATACAGAACATTGGAAGAAAGTTAGGGGCGGCCAAACCAAAACGTGGTATCAGTGCTTGAAGTCACTAACTTCTGGTTTGAGCCATGTTGGTAGATGCAGACTACCTGGTTGGGGTCCGCGTGACTATCGTAACCAATGGTTGGAGACTCTTGGTGACATGGCCCAGAATCGGTCACAATGGCGTCGGTGCATTTACTCTCTGTCTCCCCTTAAACTAAGAGATTAAAATCACTTCATATCTTTCTTTCGACGAACTAATTCTTTCTTCCTATACTATCTCTTTATATGCAATCTTTCTTTTATATATTACCACCACTGAATTAACTACTTCTATGAATTCGGTGTTCATCTTGTTGTGCTAATGAGGTATGGCAACTTGGACCGATTCATATATGTACCTGGTCCTACGTTGCAGCTGACTGACTGACTGACTGATACAGAACATGTGTTTCGTCCTGGTTCGAGACTCCTCAGCTTGCCCACTCACAGCCTCTTCGAGTCCTGTAGCGAGCAGTTAGTCCTCAAACTAAAGAGTTAGCTCGCTATGTTGCATAGTTATGAAAATAAGTTACTTTGCAAATTTTAAGGAATTCTTCTATGAATTATCAGGACAAAATAACTGGAAAAACAAAGTCAATCACCTTTATTTTGATGAAGATAATGGAGAGATTATGTGAATATGGGATTGATTATCAAGGATCATCTAATGAGATAAATTTGGAAAGTTTGTCAATCTGTTTTCAAATAAAATATTAATATTCAGGGAAAATTCACAACTCTCTTGTTATGAAAATATCACGATCAGTTTATTATATAAACAACTAACAGCTACAATTTTCAACTATTTCTTAGCTCCTTATATAACCTCATCTCCTTTCACGGTCCTTTAGGAGTAGCCATCTTTATTTCTAAAGAAGTTAGTGCTCATTATTTGAATATTGCCAACATATATCTAGATAATACAATTAAATGATTAATTGTAATTCTGACTGTTATAAATTCGATTTGTTGAAATGTGATTGGTGGTTTTATTATTTTAGTGTTTACTAACAAATCAATTTTAATTGGATTTTCCATTGGATATTGGATTTAACCTTACATGTTTTTTAGGCTAGTTGCACATAACATTGGACCAAAATTAAAAATTTCGTTTACCATACTTCCTAAAATAAATTCATTTGGTATTGTTTATTTTAATCTTCTGATTGATGTTTAGGACTGCAATTCATCAGTCTGTTATTGTCATATGTACATCATGTACTGATTTCCTTAATTCACAAGCAGTATAAGGAAAGATGGATGGTGTCTAGAAGTGAAATTCAGGACGCGCGTTTCGTTCTATTTGAGACTCGTCAGCTAGATGTACCCGTATCCAAGTGTTGACTTTCGCTTCGGGACTCGAACCAAGTACCGTTCGCTTAAAACAATATCGCGTTACCCATTTAGCTGATCATTCGCAGTCATAAACATCAATGGGAAGATTCAAACAAACAATGCAAAATGAATTTGAACATCACTTCATCGCACAAGCAAATAGACATCAGAACTCAGTAGCTAAACGGATAACGCGATGATGTTTAGAGCGAACGGTACTGGGTCCGAGTCCTAGGGTGAACGTCAATTCTGGGACGCAGGTACATCCATCTGATGAGTCTCAAATTGGACGAAACGCGCATCCTGTATTCCACTACTAGCTACCATCCATCTATGCTTCTTAAAATGGGTTGTTTTCATTGCATATTGTTTCTATAAATATATTGCATAGGGAAAGTTGTAATCAAAATTATTTCGAACATTTTAAGGTGTTTTAAAATACATGTATTACAGTTGTATATCATAAAGAATTAAAATATACAATATCACTTTGTTAGAAGCTTCTTATTTACGCTTAATTTGAGCATTTAAAATCCAAAATCTTATCCATGCATATAAATTTTTCATCAAATGAATATTGTACTGATGGTTTCCACTGTTAGGTTTAAACAAGCAAAAATAATAATTTGAGTAGAATCGCATAGGTTCTTACCAACTGCTTGAAATGAGTAGTATGTACACATCAAAAATTAAAAAGAGATTGAGGTCAACAAGCAGAAATTAAGTTGATCCAAGTTTAACTTTAAAAAAGAGCATCAGTACAGTGTAGAAAAGCTCCAAGTGTTTTAATTGTGTACTGATTGAGGTTTATAAATTGTTGTACATTGTAGTCTTAGAGTTTGCTTGGATAATCCTAAAAGCTTGTAAATATTTATCGCTCTTTCTGTTATTCTGATTAAAGATTTAGGAAAGTAAGGGTTTTTTCAATAGTTTTTCAATTGAGTCGGAAAACACAGTAAAGCAACTAGGTGATTACTCAGAAGCGATGTCGTCAAAATAATAGAGTGATGATTACGAATTTATGAGACGTGGATAACAGACAGTAGGTATTTTAAAACAATCAGATAGGGGTTTTGTGAATATTATAGTAATTTAATAGTCGAATTCATTAGTCAATCTAAGCCAGACCACTGTGGAAACCTGAAAGCACTGAACGGCGCACTGCTGAAGAGTCCCATAATAGGATGAAACGGCCGTCCAATGCTTTCAGGTTTTCCGCGGTGGTCTAGCTTTAATTGACTCATGAATTCAACTATTAAATTCCAAAAGAATTCACTTGATTATTTATTGTAAAATTGTTAAATGTTCGTCAACATGCAAGAATTCCATGAAATATTTATCGTGCTTAATGATCTTTAGAAATCTATGATCTTATTGATGGAGGATTAATTTAGCCAAATGAATTGACCAATATGTGGAGTATTTACGAAGCATAGTCATTAAAAAAATTTAAGTTTATAATAATAATAATCTTAGTAGTGAGATGGTGAAGATTTGTAGCTCGGGTGGATGATTTCGATGGAGGTTTGTTCTCTGAGCTTGATGGTTTAGTCGCGGAGCTGATGACCACATCAGCACGAACTTCAGGTAGTGGTGAAGTGTTCGAATTTTTCCACATGTAGTTCACAGCTTGTCTTGTACACCTCGATGTTGATTGGTTCTTATTGACCTTAAACCTGTCATTGTTTACTTCTTTGTTTTGGTTGTATATCTTATTGGTTTCATTTAAATAATAATAGTATTGTGTATTACTAAATATTTAGTTGATCTCATCCCATCCTATTACCCTTAATAAGCCAGTCATCAAAGTGTTCAATGATTTAATCCGAAACCATTAAAATTTTCAAGTAATCAAGTTTATTTTATTTGTCGTCAATAGTTGAAATTATAAACTTCAATGAGTATGTAACATGTCAAGTATTCGATTTCATTATAATTTCTACTGTAGTGAACGAGAACACAAGTGGAGCAATCGAATGTGTTTGAAGACAACCTTACAGAACATCTTACCAAAATCTGAGTAAATACTTAATTTGTAAAATATCAATCAATTGTCTCAAACTTGACTGATCCTTTCGCAAATATCAGTCAATCATCTCCGAGTTCATTGTTCCTGGATTTTCATACCGATTGATTCCAGTTACCCTTCTTTCCTTCTCCACATTCTACTGCCAGACAATCTAATCCTGATTATTGTTACATACTACTTATGTCGATATAAGTGACACACACCACACTATGACTAATTAACTTTAAAAATATGTATAAACACTTATTATCACTCCGGATAATTGTTCTTTAGATTAGACAAAAGGGAATTGAACTTATCATTCATTTGTAAACTACAATGATTATTAAGTTTAAATTTTTGAAAAAAGGCCAGTGTTTAATGTTATTACTATCATTAATGTTATTCTGAAAAAGGTTTTCTATTTATATTATCATCTAATTATGCTTATAAAACAATCTTCTTTTTTTTTCTTTTAAGACAAGGCAAAAAATTTTTGTCCTAGCTCAACAGTTAGCTAAAAAAGGTAGTAATGCTGATTGGTCAAAATTAGTTGCTCAAGTGGATAGATATCGTGAAAAATTATATGAAGCATGGTTAAGTGGTACAGATGAATTAACTATAGATATACCGACAAAATGGAATCTTTGGGGTAGTATCTATTATTGTTTCACATTATTTACAACCATTGGTAAGTTTAGTTTATCAAGTTTTATTTACATGAAATTTGTCTAAAATACTTCAGTAATGATGACATTGAATATGATGATACAGGTTCGAGTCATGTAGGGAAGAAGGTTAATTATGCGCCTTGTTAATGAGTGTTAAGTAGCATGAAACCCCATTTGAAGGTTTCCTATCAAGTGTTTTTAGTTACCTAAGATTTCCTGAGACCGCTTTTTTTCCTCTTAATACTATTGGTTGTTTTGTATTTCCTCTCGGAATCATTGATTTGAATAAGGGAGATACTAGCCTCAATTAAATTTAGATCGAAATTTATTATATCACTAGAATAATACATTTTTAAATTAATTTGAAAGGTGAAAAGATGAAATTACAATATGGTCAGCATAATTTACAGTATTAAGACACCAAAGTAAGTTTTGAAGGTTATTTTTCTTTATGAGTTAAAATCAGATAACAGATAGTTGAAAATCTGGGAGTACTAAACAGTTACTTCGTCGTGGTATGGGACTCTTATACAATGCTAACCAAAAATCCAACCAGGGCTCGAATCTAGGACCTTTGGTTTTAATTTCGACCGCGTAACACGCAGACCAATGAGTTAGTATTTAACTACCAGGATATGATCCGGAAATCATCTGATGATATCAGTTAACAATTGCTTTACTTGTCACTTGGTTAAACTTTAACCATTATATCTTCTCATTAGATCTAAAAGGATCCCTCTTAAAGACAGCACATGATTAGAAGGGTCATGGAGATTGGTTTCGTTTTGAGGATGATATATCTTTAGTTGTACTGACCAAGACATGATATGAGATATAACGAAATATCCATCATAACAACAAGTTACACCCATTATTATACAGATAGTTTGTTTCCAATTGGTGTGATTAATGAGCATCGCTTCTGAGTTTACATCCAAATTGAGATTATTTAATTAATCGTCCATTAAGAAATGTACTCTTCCTACTGACACTAGATAAATTCAGAAACCTTGTAGATACATTGTAAGTCAAAATAAATCTAGTTTTGATCTTAAATATCTTTTAGATTGATGTAATTGGAGTTATTTTAACAAACAACCACAAATGTTTAGCTGTCAATTGCACAATATAAGAATATCATCAGTGTAGTTTAGTATTGTGATAAATTAATAGTTTAAAAGTTATTTTCATGACAAACAAGAATTAGTTTGAGAAATATTAAAAACTTGATAGGACTGAAATACTGGTTCATACTCTGATTTGAACTTATCACTCTTCATTATTATTTGTTCATGATTCCGTATTGGATTCAACTCTCACGGAAAGTGAAATATTGTCAATTTATTAAGTCAAGATCAAATAATCAACCTATATAATTTCAGTTTATTTAGGACATTAATATAATTCTAAGCAAGTTTATCCATTAAGGTACTTTTTTTACACTCGAATTAATTAACTTTCCTATACTATACAACGTTTTAATTTCATTTACATAGAGACGTATTGAATTACATTCATTCACGTTAGCATAAGTTAATTAGTTCTAATAAACACCGAATATATAATTTTTTTAAAGAAGCAAAAAAATGAGAAAAACAAACAAACAAATAACTTAAAAAGTATTATACGTCAATTGAATATTTAAAGGGTCAATTGTACTTTTCATGTTTACTGTAAAGGAATGAATAAAGAAAATGAAGCAACTATACAATATGTAGTACAAAATATAAAGGGTATAAATCATGTACTTTATCTTATATATTTATAATTATTATTTACTATCAAAGTGAAAGAATGTATTTGTAAAATCTCAACGAATGAATTTAAAGTAAATCGAATATTTCATCTGGCAATTTAATCCAAGATTTTTCAAGGAAATATACTATCTATGTATACAGATCATATGAATAAAAAAAAAGTTTACTATCTTTAACCATGATATTGATCATAATACTTTAATCTTCATGATGTACTTTTCATGTTTTTTCTTTCTTCTATGTTTTCCTTAATGATTTCTTTTATGATCTAAAATATAGTTATGATTGAAATTTATGCATATTTGTTACTAGGTATTATAAATTTATAAAGAATTTCTTCAAACACATAGGATTTAAAGATTGTTTTTTAAATAAAACTTGGAATAAATTAAAATATTAGTAGTAGTATGTAATTCCCTTTTACTATATATTCTTTAAACATATATGATGCTAGTTAGACAAATAACATAAACGGTGTATAATCAGAATTGTATTGATGGTCATTAGATTCCTTGGATCTAGGTTAGTTGGTTAAAGGTAGTCGACAGGAAATACTGAACCTAAGTTTCATAATAGTTAATGCTGATCATCAAGAGGTCATTGTAATCTTGAGATAGTTAATGCTCACTGCGGGACTGGGACCGTTGTCAATTAGCTGTACAGTCCGAGAGTTTACCGTTAAGCTATTCGTGTCACCAATATCATGTCTTTTTTAGTCTTTTAATGTTGATCAGATTCTATTGGTGAAGTTGCAATGTATCTAATGGTCTAACTGACCTGACATTATGTTAATTATATTAAGATGGATCTATTTTAGTGTTAAATCAATTAAATCAGATAATAGGAGGATATTTGTTATAATTGTAGTGTTTGTTAACAATAAACAATAAGGTATGCAGTATTATCTAATAAAAGACAATATTTTCAAACAAACACTGATCAACCGTGTTTATGGATACATTTCAATCATAATCCAATAATCAGGTTAATTTGTTCAGTTCACATAATTGATCGATTTTTAGTCAATACAAAGAATTGAGTAAATTATTAATAATAACAATCGAATTAGTTATTAGTATGATTTTCCTCTTACTTAATAGAAAACAAGACAATGAAATTTTATTTCAATTTTTTTATTTAATGGATTATTTATGCTTTCCACTAAAAATTTACTTTCACTATTATTTAACCCAGGTTATGGTAATGTTTTTCCATCCACTGTTGTTGGTAAACTACTAACTATACTTTATGGTATGATTGCCATACCATTATGCAGTTTGCTAATAAGTCGAATATCAGATGTTATTATCAGACTGACTAAAGCAATTTATTATATGACACTTGATCCTTCTGGAGTTCCAGTTGGATTAAGAGAAGCTTATCATAGAACTGATGCAACTTTCGACTTTCGAGTAAGTTTAGAGATTATGATTACAAAACGTTTTAATATGTTAAATGTTTTATTGTTAATTTTATTCTTCTTTAGTCCCTATAATAAATATTCTGTCAAAGATTTGTCTTTTAGATTAACTGAAGCTGATATAAAGATGTCATTTATGTGCAGAATTAAGCGAACAGTTGTCCAGTGGAGGCGAAGTTGATGATCAACATGATCCCTTTATTTATTTTAACACAGAAATTGGTACAAGGAGGCAACAAATACATATGCGCCACACAAATCTCAATTGATATGTGTGAGGGCTGTGATACTGTCCGGGTGCCCAAACCGAAGTAGGTCATTTTCTTAGGGGTCCACACCCCGAGCCTTCGACCTAAAGGTCTAATCCACAGGGTAGTGGAGCATCGTAAGGAGATGCAGTCCCATGGTAGCCGGTGACCAACGATTGGTCCATACACTATTTGTTTCCTCAGGTTGCTGGGGCCCATGTACATCATTGGTTTGTGATCCGGTTAAAGCGCCGGATATTCGCTTTTCGTCCTCTCAATTTCGTAAACAACACCCCCGCCACGAGAAGGCAGTGAGTAGGATTTCCCTGGCAGAGGCTGTATACGCGTGTCCATGTGAGAGCATTTTGAGAGAGTGAGCGGACTCTCCCCACTTTCGGCCATACCAGGGCATCTGGGGGCAACATGATCCTTACAAAAGTTGAACTACTACTTAAATAACAACTTAAGGTAATACAACTGCTGATGAACTCAAATACTATGTCAGAAGCATCTAGCCCCCCCCCCGTTGTACCGTTCAACATAACTCCACAGATTATATGAGGACTTAACTGTGATCCTGATTTCACTGTCACGTGTAACACGTAGTTCTGACTATATGAAAACCTACTCCAATTTTATTTGGTGATCATATGATTCATGGAAGATTTGCATTTCGTTCAGTAGATGGGTCCTACCATGTCAGAAAAATATTGAAACCTGAAATTCATGCAATCTTACATTTTATTTTATATGCCAGTCCTTAAATTAATTATTTAATGATGTTATTCAATTTACGTTACGGACACTCCATGAATGAGAAAGATTATTCCTTAATCAATCTTGGTGGTTTAAATAAATAATCCCAATGATTTTAGCTAGACGTTTCAGTGGAAGATCGAATCACACCACTGATTATAATTTGTGGTATGCAATCTGAAATTCATCATAAACTTACTTACGCCTTTTACCCACCGTCGATTTGAATAATGCCTAGTATCCAGTGGTTTATCATCAATATTATATTTTATTTATCCTCTAACTATTGTTTTTATTGGTTGACTTGTATTTTCAACAACAACAAAGAAACTTGTTAACATCTTTGAGAATTGATCAACAGTTTATTTATTTTAGGGGACTATGAAAGTAACTTGTAAATACTACTTCATTTTTTTAACAGTTATGTAACATAATTCTCTTTTGTCTACAAATATTAACGAAGACCATCAAATTATCTTTTTCCACATGATCAATGAGATAAGAATTTGTTCACTAGGTATAACTTTCAATCAAAAGAGAATAAAGTACGACGTTTACTCGTATATATATATATATATATATATATATATATATATATATATATATCCTTCTATAATTAATTCTACCAAATTACAATCTAACAAAATTTATCAATTTCAGTAGTTATATAACTAAGACGTTTTTATGACAAAACTAAGAAAGTCACCAATCAAAACTAAGTCTCAAGTCATCATAAAACAACTGTTTAATAAATAAGCTTCAATTAACTAGAGAATAAATATTCAAGTATCATAGTTACTTTTATCTCTTTTTAATATATATATGCATGTATTCATGTAAACTGTTTAACTGTTGATTTATCTATATTTTCTAACCTAGGTACTTCCTTGCATATTAACATTCGTAATCTATCTAGCATTTGGAGCTGGGATATATTCTTATATAGCTGGACAAAAAGAATTAGAGTGGAGTATTTTGGATTTAATTTATTTCGCATTTATTTCATTATCAACTGTTGGATTTGGAGATCTAGTACCAGAAACTGATGTATTTTTAGCAGTTTTTTCAATTATTTACATAATTATTGGTCTAGCAATCACTGGTATTGTATTTGGACGTTTAACTGAAGCATTTGAACATGTTTTATGCGGTCATACTATCGAGACAACTGAAGAAAATCTCATGAATTCTGAACAAAATTCTATTCAAGCAGCAAAACTTATGAAAAATAGAACAAATGTAACACATTTAAAACAAAATTAACCCATTGAACATTGATTATAAAGTAATAAAAAAGAAACAACTAAACAATTATTTCATCGACAGAGAGATGAAATCTGGGGATAAACTGATTTATAAAACCACTATCGATTAAAAATATTTTCTTTGATTCCTATTTGTTGTTTGTAAATGAGAACAAAATCATGTTGCTTACCCTTAGTATGTTGTTATATGAAAAAAAGTGCAGTTAATGCTCATTTTATTTGTTTATTCCTTTTCTTGTAGAAGAAATTTATTTGAAGAAAACTGTAATGTTAACTTTAGTTGGGAAGCAAGGTGAGGGGAATCTTTAACTAAACAAAAAATAAAGAAGATATACAGTAATCGAAATACAATTTCATATTAATCAATTATCTGAATGTTCTGCAGATGAATGCAAACATCAAAGTCATTAACATAAAGTCTAGGTTAATATCCTTCATTTTAGGTAGTAAAGAAAATCATTTCTAATGTATAACACCAAGAATTGGTATGAGTATTTTGTGAATGATACAAATAATTTACACTTGATTACTATAATCTGCTTAATCTCCTTCATCTAACATTTGAAGATAAAGAATTAACAATATTTGGTAAACTACACAACTTACGGTCTGTTCAGATAACAGACAATGACAACACTCTACTAGTTATCTGAAGCTTACTTAAAAGTGACATAAATATCAATACTACTGAAGGAAGAAACTAACAAAGATGAGAGATTTTAGTTTATATTATGAAAACCGAAATTATATCATGTTGATATTATTTTGCATAGTGAATGGCTAATCTTATTTATCGTATTTTATTTAGCATACTACATAATTACTGTTATTTATATACAGATAAATTTAATAGACTGCATATTGTAAAGATATACCTTATTTGGAAGAACATCCAACAACATTGATAGTAACACAAGTCCAAAGGGCTAGAACTAAGCGATTACGTAATAAGTAAACGATGATAATAACTAAGATTAAAATGAACAAAGCTAAGTTAAATAAAATAAGATCACAAATCTTGAAGATAGTAGAAATGAAAATACGTAATGATGTAATTAGCTGGGAAAAAGAGTTGAGAAACGCTTTAATTTAATAAAGGATTATCTGTCACCAGGGTAAAGAAAGATTAACAACTGTCTCTTTTTGAACAAATATATCAGATTTCTGACGACTAGTAGCAACGGCTTCAGCAAACTTCAGAGGACTGAAGCTTGGCTGTTTATTAATCACCTTGAAAGGTCCCAATTTTAGGGAGATTTGGGGAAATTTTAGGGAACTTCCCCAGAGTCAGGGGAACTTGGGGGAAAAACCCCAACGTTTGGGGGAAATCCCAAAATTGAGAGCTTGGGAAGGTATCGACTGGGTGTTTTGTGTCCAAGGTTTTTTAGTAATTGTCCCGTCTTAAGTAGTTTTCATCTCTTTGAAGGCCTTTTGGAACATGTCCAAAAAAATCTAAGGTGTGTCTTCCTTTTTATTCGACCAATCCCAAGCTCCCAATTATTTATTAATACGTTTTTCATTGCTCCGTTTCTGTTACACGTTAAGCAGAAGTTGAACTATCATTTGGTAGGTTCTAAAAAAATGAAAAAAGATTTTTTAGTTTACAACCACATGAAGAAATGTGAAACGTCGATGACGTTATTAAAACTTAGACAATGGTTTCAATAATCCGAACAAATAACTTACAGTTACGTCAGATAAAGCGTGTGAAGCCAGCTGAAAAAGAGGAATATGACAACAGTTTTATCACTATAAACATTGATCACAAAGTAATAATCGAAGTGCAATATGTATTATTGCTTTGGCTAGCCTTTTCTTTGGATCGCCATCCGCGTTTATTAACTTTATCTCTTGTGTCATGCAAGAAAGCCTGGCTTGCTGTACCCATAGCGTGTATCAAATCCATTTCCGTACAGGTCGCACTTCGGAAATGGGAACACAGAACACCTATCAATGTGTTAATGCAATAGTGTGTACTTACTTTGAACGTTTGAGTAAAATTTGTACTTACTAACACCACATTTTCTGTTGGTTCCGTGCAAAGTGTAATTGTTTGTCAGTTCCGGCGAGAGCACGTAACTCAGACAGGCTTTCGCTGATTTCCGAGGATCGTCACACAGGAACCCGTTTAATCTTCCCACCTAAAATTTGTTCAAATACCTGTAACAACTTACGAAGTAATCCCGGAACTGGACGTTCTCTAAAGCAGCTTCTAAAGAACGCAAGTCCTCATGCGTTCTTAATGGGAATGCGATAGCTGCCGTGTCTACGGGCTCCATAGGCCTGTCAGTTACACCCATGGGTAAGCGTTTGACTTATGTTATCAGTTTATCCATCTTCTTCGATAGTTCACCTACCGCCTTCAGCAGCAATCTCAAATGTTTATTAGTATCGTCGCCGAACCTTTTGTTACTAGGAAACAAGTAAATGCAACTTACGATTTATCAACGGCGGTCGATGAACATGGAATGGGCGGTGATGAAAGCTTTGCTTTGGATGAACTACTTTATGAGTATAGATTAAATAGGTACATACTTGGCTATGGGTGAAAACCTTCCGGTCAAAATGTTGACAACTGGAAATTCAACCGGAGCAAATCCAGCATTAACTTCAGCCACCTCTAGTTCTTCAGAGGTGCATAGATAGTCACACAATTTACGTTTTGCAGCCCTAACACTAAAGTGATTTAGTAAGCTGAACAAATTACCTCTTTGGCTTTTCTGCTTTACACGGCAGAGTTTCATCATCTGTTGTAAGTTCCTTATTGTAACCGAGTACTGAGGTTAGACACTTCTTTATTTCCTGGGCTACATGGTAGTCCTCTAAAAACAGTGAATTAAAAGTAATTACAACTTACCAAAACTATGCAGTACGGTGCCTTTTCTCAACGTGTATTGACTATCAAAATCTACACCATCAATGATGTCATTCTCCCTAACATCATCCCGATAAACGTAGTGCTCGTTGTTCAAGAGCCATTTATTAGGAATGCAAATCACTTGCTTTTTGTCCTTATCATTAATCAAAATGTACTTTCCGGATTGATGCTGTAATTGAAAGCTCAAGCGTTAAAAATGTATTACTTTCATTGAAAGATGACTGGGTGGAGACATTGCCGAAATCACACCACCTATTATTAACTATGTTAATTAAGGAAGATATACTACCATTGGCTGTAGTGCCAGCACACCGAACACAGATACATGAAGCAGTGGCTGTTCCTGAGACGATACTGTTACACTGTTCTGTAGCTACCGTTCTACCTACTCCTGTGATGACAACAGAATTCTTGTCATCTTCGTCACTGCTGCTTAACTGATAATTTTGTACGAATTCATCACTCAACTTGCGCAACCTTCGGAAATAAGTTGATCTGGAACAGCCCAGCAACCTCAAGTCTCTAGCAGCTTGAGCCCTCCTTTTAGCAATCTTATCAAGCTGTAAATTATTTTCCTGAAAGGTAAAATTCACTTAAGTGAGACTGAAAAACTACAGTAATCGAAGTTTGGGATAATGCTAAGAAATCACCTGCATTGCGTTCTAATTTTGAAAAAGTAGTCTAGACAATTCATTGTCTCGTGTATGTTTAACGAATTAAAACAACGCCTGAAAGTGGATGAACTATTCCTGAGAAAAAGTCTTTATTGTATCGAAATTAACAAATTGTAATTGTAATTTAAAATTTCAACGATTAATAATCGAATGCTTATGAAGTGTTACTCCGAAATGATGTGTAGCGCATCATTCCGGGAATTTCCTCGAAATTTCCCCAGAGTTGAGAGCTTGGGATGTAGCTGCTTTAGAAGGTACACGTACATTTATAAACACATCTGTCGGTAACATGAAAGGTGTGTTTATCGATCTTTGGTTGTGTTATTGAATATGTTGTTTTATACAGTATTAATAGCTTGGTTGCCGAGTAAGTTCTGACTAATGTAGTGTTAAGCCTCCTTCTGACTATACTTGAGACACCATCACCTTTGAAGTTGGAATTTGTAGGTAATAATTTTTTTATTGACTGTATTCACACACGTCTTGTTTTCTCTAGATTGTTTTACATTTATTATTAAGTTTCTGTGGATAGAAGTTTTCTCTTAGTCATTTTTCTACGTTCATCATTTGTCCCCTCCAGTTTGTCGGTGGTACATATCATTTCTATTCCATAATATAATGTTTTGACAAACGCTTTCTTGTAATCAATTAGACAAAGCTATTGAAATACTGGTAAGGACCATCCTTAGTAATTTTTCCAAAAACCTAACTTTGAACTGTTCCGTATTCCATCAGTTGCTTAGCAATATCGAGAAAGTTGAACGTATCATTTTCTTCATGTTCAATATTAAACTGTATATTGGGATGAAGAGTTGTGATAGATTATTTTCTAGATAATTCTAAGGCTTCATATGTCAATCGCCCTGATAACCGTTATTAAATGAATTTCAGAAGGCGATGCGCAGAAAATTCGAGTAAAAATGCTCATGCGAGTTAGTGAATATAGAGGTAAATTAGGAGTCGAAAGAGTTGATAAGATTCAAGTATATATCTGGGAAAGAAAATGATTCTTCGAGCAACTTAAGTAGCTAAAATTTAAGCCCGAGAATGGGATATGTGCGTGAACTGCCACAGGTGGTCAAATGTACATGTTCATACAAACATGATATTTATACCAAGACATCAAATTTTCACTGTTTGAATAACACTGTCATTTAAACGAGTAAATTGAAGAGCTTGACAAAATTAAAGGTAAATAAACCTAAGTGTAGGAGAGGTGCTATAGATCGTTGAAGAGTTCTAATTGGTGAATTGCATGCTAATAATAATAAACGTGTCACTAACACAATTGGAGTATTCATTTGTTTCTTTAATAGCTTGTTTAAGCGCTATGTTTTAAAAATAACCTATAAAAATATCTTCTATAATTGGAACCAATGTAATTCCTACAGCGGCATCATAAATATGATGGTATATGGTGTTACTGAACTGGAATTCAACATCTTTTACGCATGTAAGCAGACGTTTTTCAAATTCTGGGACTGGTAAAGGTAGGATATCAGAATTATGACAAGTTATATTAGTAGTTTTAAGAATTAGTATTACAGAGAACAAGGATGGACTTACTAGCAACATTCATACGATTTAGTCTGTCAGAAAATCGGAATGAATCTTTTGACGTAAATGATGCTAATCTCTGATGGACTGGTTCTAGGTTATCTGTTAGCCGGGTGTGACTCTGATACAGTGAGTTGATCAGTGAAAGGACAGTTCTAAGGGGGAAACATGTTTGTGTACCTCAAGCGGACCATGCATTTATAGCAGACATGAGTAGCAAAGTCTTAGACCATAGTAAGTAAAATTAGCATTCATTTTCTTTTTTAAATGTACTCTACTCATGACTGTTATTCGTTTTTTGAAACAGTAAAATATTTGTTGAATTTGTCTACCATTAATCTTAATCGGTTGTTTAGGATTGACTTAATCTTAGTGATATGATCAGCTGTGTTCATTTGAACGACACTTAAACCTTTATCTTGTTGTAAGATCATTAGCTCGTCATTTTGTTTAATGTTTCTCACAGCTGTCATGTTTTTTTGGATCATATATTCGACTTTGATGTCGATGAAATAAAATATTGGCTTGCAACGTGAACTAACTCAGATTTGAACCAGCCCTTCTCTTCCTCATTCATCAGATGCAAATCTCCTAACTGGTCAAATAAATTTTCGAATTGCGCTTCTGTATTATTCTTGTTAGTACTTGTTTTTGGTATGTAAAATTCTAGTCCGATTGGTCACGCTTCTGGTTCTAAGTTATCCAGCTTCATATTAGATAAGTTATAAATAAACTTCGAAGTGTTTTCTGAAAACCCTAAATATAGTTGTCTTTTATTGTTTTAATGGCTGTTCTATGTGTTATATGTCGTAAGCAACTGATGATGATCAGTGAAATGAATCCACGCTACTTTGTTCAAATTCTTGTTCTTATCGTTGTTTATTTGGGTTTTGTGTGAGGAGTAGTTCCATCTGAAGACAGCTTCCATATCTTCAGTCACAAACCATTTGGAACTGTAAAGAACTTCTGATCGATACTTTTCTCTTTTTTGAAATTATTACCGATGGAAATTATGGAAATGGTTCAGCCCAGTCGTAATTCAGCATTCACTTTTCACTACTTTGATGACGAGTTAGTGCAAACCAGATGATTTCTTCAGGCTTGCCTTTCGTCATTTTCTACTGTTTCAAATGTTACGTGGTATCCAGTCGAGGATAGTCTGGCCAATCGGTTGTACTTGTTTTAACCAGTTTATTAGTTGTTTATGGGTTTGTGAGCTTTACAATCTGAATGAGTGCGTATGCCCTAAAGCACTTCTGAGACCAGTTGTCACATTACCAGGCAGAAGGTCAGTTGGCTGCAGTGTTAAAAATGATAACAGAAAAATCCAGATGAAGAAGAGCGAGGAGAAGACGGTGGTTAAAAGAAGTATATTTTCAAAATCTATGTTTAGAGCTAGAAATTGAAAAATGTGATCTCTACAGTATCAACTAATACCACTTCAAAATTTTGTTTGCACATTACGTTTAAATAAAACAGCATAGAGAATTAACGAAACTACAATTCACTCATACAGGAGTTTAATGGAAGAATTGGACTCTAGTGAGGAGATTTCCGGCATAAATGGGCATTGCTGGGTGATCAGAATACCTTGCTGCATCGATGCATACTGCTCCTCTGGAAATGTATTGAATGTTCTAGAACTTGTAAGTGCACCTCATTCGATATGTGATATTATAGGGACTTTAAATGTTCGGTCATTTTTATTAGTACATTCCATAAGTAAAACCACCTACTTTCTGTCACTTTATGCCAACACCATCCCTAGCAACTTTAACTAATTTGAATAATATCTAATACCAACAGAATATCACTGTGTCACATGACACATGTATTTTGATGGACTTGACTGACATATTTTGGTAAATACTGCTTTGTTGTTCCGTGCTCTGTTTTCGTTTCAATTTTTCAAGTTGTAGATAATTATCATTAATTCGATCTGACACAGGAAATGACCTTAATTACACCGTTCATGAATCGTCAGGCTGTCCATTTAAGAAAACTTAAAAGTTCCCGGCTGATGCATTGGATGGCTGTAACACATGCACAACCTAAACAAATACTGAACTAGTATACTTAAAACTTTCTTCTATCACATGTTTGTTCTCTACATTTAATGTTTCTATTTATATCAACTCTATCATACCTGTAAACTGGCGTGAATTCTGTAATTATTATTTTCAGAATATACCGTTATTTAACTCTATAGTTTGATAATGGCGTAAAGTCGGACGTTTGGCAATGAGTATTTAGAGTGGACCAATTAAGTAAAGTAAACTAAAAAGGACTATGTAATGTATGGAGGTTCAAAGAAGTGCCATGAAGGTATTGTAATATCCTAAATAGACCATCGACGGGACCTTAAATGATAGCCGAATTCGCTTTTATCAGAGACTACGGGACCTGACTATTAATGAACAGTACTAACGTACTCATATCGTAAGTAATAATCTGAAGGCAAATGTACTTGAACTCAGGCACAGATAATAGTAAGGCTGAGTGGTGAAAGATTTATTGAAAGGTAGGCGTCACATGTCCTCAGTGCAAGGAAATAACTGCGTCATTTGAACGAGCTCCTATAACTGGTGACATTCAATAAATTTAAAATGGTCAGCGTAAATGTCTATTGTTTACAAAGTTATATATCGATCAATTACAGGCATTAACACGTTTTTTTTCAGGCCCTTAAAGGGATGAAATATTTGTTCCGCCTATCCATTTTTAGGGTTTATCTTCCAAAACCCAGACTTTAATTTGATGGAACTAACATTTTATTACCTCCAGCGGATTAAATGGTTCAAATGGTAGTGAACAAAATTGATGAAGCTTTTGCTTAACGGGCTTCCGTGTCCAGTGGCAGTGGATCAACAATACCTCAAGGTAGGAAACTAGGTATATTAGCGATAAAAGAAGAAAAAGAAATCGATAAAACATAGTAGAATACTATCCTTGGTCCTTAGGAATAGGCCAAGTTTCCTCTTAAAGGACTCCTAGGAAGTCTCTTGGACTAGCCCAGCCGGCAGCGAATTCCAGGATTTGACAACTCTTAGAAAAAGAAGATGTGTCTACAGCCCGTTCCGCTATATTGTCTCTAGTTTCTGGATGCTACTCCCTAGGTTTGTGTTGGAGCTAAGCCTAAGTAGGTGTTTAAGGGGATGCCCATAATTATTAAGGATACTGTAAGCCATTAGAAGATCACCTCTAAGATGCCTGTACTCTGATGGGCAAAGGTCCAGTGACTGGAGGAGCTCTTCATGAAACTTGAATTTGGGTCCCCGAACTGATTTCGTGGCTTAAACCGTACTGTTGAGGTGAAAATAGGTTTAAGAATATTGAATAATTGCGTATACTATATTATGTCAGGGACTCCATAATTTTTGAGGGTACATAGCGAAGTGCTATCGGTCGGTAGTTTGTAGGTTCGC